TCCCGGATGACGAGGTAGGGAGAGTCCGAGGTAGAAGGACGTTTTGACCTCGGAGGAGTAAACCGAAGCTGCTTCGGTTCTCGGTGGTAGGTCAGGAGGTGAGGTCTCCACATTTAGGTGGAGCTTCCTCGGGTAGGATGCTCAGGAGATGACGTGAGCAGGGAGGTGTCGGGTTTTCACCGGGTAGAGACGGTGTAGGTTGGCGCTAGGACACTCCCTCTCGAGGTGGAGCACGTGCACTCACGTGTCTCTTATTCTCGGTGGAGCATCGTAGATGACTAGGAACGTCTTCACGGGACAAAACCGTGGGACAATTCTAGTTGGCAGGTTAGGGTCCGAGGGTAGAAGTCGTATACCTATAGGTAGTATAGACTTCACGGGGATCCGGGCTAGGTATCTAGCGGGTTTCGGTAGTATGACTCAGGTTAGTCTCGGGAAAGTCGGGATAGACTTAGGAGACGGGTAGACGTCGGGTGTAATCCTCGGGTTAGCTAGCGGGTATAGTCTTGGACTCTACTAGGAGGATTGGTTAGACGGTCTAGGGAGTCATACAACCGAGGGTAGCGTTTGCCGGTCGGGCAACGCGGGATAGGACTACGGTTCGAGTCTTATCGGGGTGAACGTTCTAACACGTTTACCAAGTGTTTCAGGTATAGATGAGCTGATCGGTGACGGGATAAGGCGACGAGACCACGAGGAGTCATCGACGGGGAGCTTGAGGGCGACATGTGACTAACTCCGCGACATCAGGTAAGTGAGGTAAGTCAGGTAAGTTTGCATTTAAATTCCGACGAAAGTCGAGGGATCGACGAAAGTCGATCGGTGCTGGAAACGGCGAACCACTAGTTTTATTTTTATTTTTCGGTTTCTCTTTCTCCACCAAGGTGGAGATTGTTGGGTCTAAAAGCCCATTTGGTGGAAAAGTTAAACCCTCCACGTGAGGGAGAGGCTTTCCAAAAACGCCACGTTTTGCGTTTTAGGGTTAATACCCTAATGTGTTTTGGCTTTTGCGAGACACGGTGCTCGAGGTGTGAGAGAGAAAGAGAGGGAGAACGGAGATGGCGAAGGAGAAGGAGGTTTATGCCGACGGAGGAGTTTCTCGGCGTCGCCGGAGCTCGGGATCGAAGGCGGCTCAAGGTAGGTGAGTCGGGATCGGTAAGACGTCGCGTATTCTGTTCTTTCTCGGTTGTTTCTTGAACACATCGTGGGTGAGTCTCCGGTTTTGTGGAGACCACCGTCTTCGGTTGTTTTCCGTTCTGTTCTAGTGGATTCGCCGGCACCGTCCGGCCGAGATGTAGGCCCGAGGTAACTCGGTAACCGAACTCGTTAAAAGTCTCCGGTGTCTTTCGATTCGAGCACGTACGAGTGTCGGAGTGGCCGTGAGGATTCTGATACCGACTTCACAGTAGTTAATGTTTTCAGTTATGTGTTTCAAATCGAAGTATATCTACGAATGTGTGTCGAATCTTTTAATTAAAATAATGAGACAATATTTGACAAGGTATCATGTTTTTATTTTTTTCTGGTAAACAATTCTTTCAAGTTTTGGTTCTCTTCTTCGAAATTGAGAGCGGAGAGGAAACAAAGTGTTTCAGGCAGTTTCAGGAAGTTACAAAGGCAGTGATTATGGAAGAAGTTGCAGGCAGTTTTTGTCGGTTCAAATTATTATTATTATTATTATTATTATGGAGCAGCAAATAGAAATATCAGAGGATGAAATGCTTGTTATTATTATTATGACCATACGATTGACGGTTGTCATTTACATATATAGAGAGAGGAGAGGTAGGAGATGGGAGAGCTGAAGGTTCATGGATTTGTCGGTTGGAAATCGGCAGGGCAGGGGTAGCTGCAGATGCAAGCCCCTCCGCGGTCGCATTAGCCAATGGCTTTCCGGCCGTGAAGTTTCTTGCACTGACCACTGCAGTCTTTCCCACACCGTCTAAGGAATCCACACATGCCACACTCTCATCAACTGTTACCAAAAAACAAAAACCAGCCTTCGTTAGTGTTTACATATACATAAACATATATATATAATATATATATATAATATAATATATGCATGGAGTGTGACAATATCATAGAACTCAAAACATCACATTATTGATACAGAGAGAGAACTCACTCAAGGCAGATGAGACGAAGAGGATCATGAAGAACGCTACCATCTTGCATGGACTCATTTTCGATAACTCCTTTCTGAATAAAATCTTAAAAATCTTTTATTTGTTGTTTTTTTATGAACATATTATTGCTTGGATTGTGTCTTATTTATATGCATTTGTAATAAAAAAGGAAAAATCCTTGGTGTTTAATTTATGAGGTCAGATTTTGTTTTAATTAAAAAGAATCCTAAAGATATAACTCTCACATTGAATATGTAAGAATCTTCCATAAATCTCTACAACCTCTATAATCCAAATCAGCTAAGAATCAATGTTGGCCTGGATTCCAAATCGTATTATCCATTAGAATATATATATATATATATATATATATATATATATGCATTAAAATATTTAGTAACATCCCATATATTCTAAAATTAAACTGAACGAAATGGACCTCCATATACAGAGAGATGGACAAGTTTTGGTCAGTCAGGGCACAATATAAAATAATTATATTTCTTAAATATTTTGGTACCTACAATTTTATAAAGAGAAGAATACCCGAAAATTTCTTTCTAAATCTGTAATTTGGTGTAATATTAATTCATCAATTTGTAGGTGCATCTATTTATTCCCGAACTTGTATTTTTTAACAGGGGGAAGTACTTCCATTTTACCCTCAATGTGCTACACATACTTCTACTGCTACCCTCGTGTTAGAAAAAAAAAATTTCAACTTCCAATTTACCCTTTGCATTGACAAATTACAAAAATACCCTTTAGAAATAAAATAAAAAAATTAAAAAAATCTCATTTTTCTAAGTTTTCTCTTTCCTCACAAGAACCAATTCCTCTCTCATCATCTCGCCATTATCGACGAAGCTCTCTCTCTACAATGTTTTCTCTCTCCTCTCTATTTTGTTATTTTGTCTTCATAATTCACCAAATTCGGACAAAATCACGGGAAAATCAAGGCGAAATCAGTGAGGAAAGTGAAAATAGATAAGCTTGTGTCGAAATCCCGGTTTTTTTCATGCACATTGATAGTTCTTACGCTTCTTTTCTTTCATTTGTTTTTTTCTGTATCGTTTGTAGTCACAGATCTTTTTCGAATCTACATGGGTATATGGACCACAATGATCACAATGTGCACAACATTCATAAGAGTCACAATAGAAACGGGTCACAATGTGCAAAACACTCATGCATGACACTATAGAAATGAATTACGAGTCACATATCACGTGGTCACACGTTTATAAGGTCACTTGATCATACGGTTCACGGGTCATTATAGGATAACAGGTCATATGGGTCACAACAGTCACAAGGTCACATGGTCACATGGTCACCTGATCACAAGGTCACATGGTCACATATTTCAGAATGGTCAGATTGGTAATAATGGTCACATATTTCAGAATGATCAGATTGTTACATAAAAGGTATGAGACTGCGTGTACGTATGAGGTCATTGTGTTGAACATTGTTATAGATGAGTTTGAGGTAAAGGGTGAAAATGATAGAAAACACTTTGTTAGTATCGAAGATAGAACCTGCAGTTGTAGAGTGTTTGATTTCGATAAGATCTCATGCAGTCACGCAGTTGTAGCATTTAAGGTTGATAAAGCGAATGTTATATCAGACTTGTGTTCTCTATATTATACACGGGAGACATGGCGTCTTGCTTATCAAGAAATTGTGTATCCGGTCCACTATAGGAGGCATAGCCACAAGATTTGCAACATCTGGGTCATCGATAATCTATTCACAGTAATCGGAACATCGGCAATGTCATAGAGAACGACTAATTTGGAGTGAAGAAAGAGGCGCCACAAATTTGTATAATAATTATGTGGTGTATTTGTATTATATTGTGTTACAAATGATTTGTACAATAATGTCAAAGAACTTTGGTTAATGATGTTGTAATATGTTTGTACAATATAGTATTACAAATTTTATATAATATTGTGTTTGTACCATAATAATATTGTATTATTGAAGATGGATTTCCTCAAATATATAGTCTGTGTAGAAAATTTTCAAAATATTTTAAGGGGTTTGTAGAAGGAATAAACCAAATTTGTCAAAAGTACTTATAAAACACTATGAAATATATAAGAACACATTTGAAAGAACAACTTTGAAACACAAAAATCGCAAAAACCATATTTTAATGTTCGACACAATATAGAATAGGCTTATGAGAGATGTGTGATGTTGTTGAGTGATTAAATTGGCAAAATCGTATGGATCAAAGGTTGTGACCGACTGTGACTCATTGTGACCGAAATATATTGTGGGACCCACACGAAGAATTAGTCATGATTTCTCCAGATTTTTGTATTTGGTGGATCCCATGTTGCCTATTACCATTTTTTGTGAAGTTCACGTTGAATATTCAACCTTAGTCCATGGTAGGGTCCATTTTGACAATTCAACATATTTTTCGAGTGGGGACCACTTTGAAATGCATATTTTTTTATATAATTTGGTAGGGCCCATTTTTATATAAAATCATCTAAAAATGCAGATTTTTTTTGTAGTGCTCATTTTTTTTATTCAACCCCATATTTTTTTCTTTAATATTTTAAACCCAAATTTTTTTCTATAACAATTTCAATCCAGGTTTTTTTTTCAAAAACATAAATAAGTTCAGATTTTTAATAAACAAAAACTAAAAATAAAAATTCACAATTTAGGGTTCAAAACACTTAAATCCAATTTTTTCTCTAAATATTTCAACCCAATTTTTTCTCTATAAAGAAATTGCAATACATTAAACAACTACAAAAAAAAAATCAAAGTTTCGTTAGGGTTCAAATAAATAAACAAAAAGAGTTTATAATTAGGGTTCAAACATAAAAAAAAAGGCAACTCGAAACTATTTTTCCGGTGAACTATCACGATCTATTATGAACTGTAAACTTTTGTTATTATTATTGTTATTATAATTGTTGTTGTTGCTGTTGTGGTATTTCTATCGAAATTTTACCCTTTTTTTTCTTTTTTTTTTTTATAGATTTTCTAGAACAAATTTTGCACTTCACGAATTTTTTTAGCATATGATATCCGGATTCATGTCTAAATATTGCACCAAAGAGAAAATCGGTTGATTTGTACTTCCCCTATACTCCTCTCCAGATAAAAAAGAAATGCTTCTTCATTCATTTTTGTATATAGTATATTTTTTATTCTCTGAAAGAACGTATGACTCATTGTTACTATATTGAATCTTATGACCATGTGACCATGTGACCATGCGACCATGTGATCATCTGTCTGTGTGACTATGTGACCATGTAACTGTATGACCGTGTGACCATGTGACCAAGTGCCCATGTGACCATTTCTAAATTTAATTATTGTCTATTATGAAATATGAACTTATGACCTTTGACCATGTCACCTGTGACCATGCAACCATATGATCTATATGACTTTGTGACCCTGTAACCTATGTGATTGTGACCATGTGATCTAAATCCTCATGTCTTCCATACATCTATCCAAACATCAACACATATGATATTATAACCTATATGACTGTCCTAAATGACCTCGTGACCCAAACTGTCCCATTTAACTCGAGTTTAACTATTTCACATCTCAATTGATTACTTGAATGCAAACCCAATATTCTATTTTGAAATCTCCAAAATTTTAAAAACACAAAACCCTAAGTTTTATCGGGCAAATCCCGAGCGACACTTAACTCAACAATAACAAATTTCAAAATCCAACAAATATGAAAAGTAGTGTTTGTTAACCTACCACGTGTTCATCTAACTTCGCAATATACATACGTTTCTTATTCTCGATCGAAGATGATTATGAAGATGAGTACAGTGATGATTTTGAAGCCATGTTCTTCGTCGTCGTTGTTACTTCTTGTTTGAATCTCAAATATAATCGGAGATTTGAAGAGAAAACATAAATTTATGAGAGAAATCGAGATTTAAGGTACAAATCGATGAGAGATTGAGAGTTTTGAGAGAGAGAGATGAAACTTAGGAGAGAGAGATGACAGATCGTGACTTAGAGGAAAGAGAAGAGAAAATATTTTTTTTTAATTTTGAATTTTTTAAATTGAAATAAATAGAGGGTTTTTTGTCTTTTTATTAATATGTGAGGATTTTGTTGTCTTTTAATATGTTGAAGAGTGTTTTTTGTTTAATTTTTTGTTTCGAGGGTAGTGTTAGAAGTACAAATAGCATTAAAATATTTAGTAACATCCCATATATTCTAAAAATTAAACTGAACGAAATGGACCTCCATATACAGAGAGATGGACAAGTTTTGGTCAGGGCGCAATATAAAATAATTATATTTCTTAAATATTTTGGTACCTACAATTTTATAAAAAGAAGAATACCCGAAAATTTCTTTCTAAACCTGTAATTTGGTGTAATATTAATTCATCAATTTGTAGGTGTATCTATTTATTTCAAAAGAAGAATACCCGAAAATTTCTTTCTAAACCTGTAATTTGGTGTAATATTAATTCATCAATTTGTAGGTGCATCTATTTATTTCCGAACTTGTATTTTTTAACACAGTAATTTTTAAATTTACTTAACACTATCGTCTTTATCACTAATTGACCAAAACAAAACTCAGAAATTACTGTGTTCAAAAATGCAAGTTTCGGAATTATTAGGTTCAAAAATATAAGTTCAGGAATTACGGTGTTCAAAAATGCAAGTTCGGGAATAAATAGATGTATCTACAAATTCAGAAAATAATTACGAATATTTCTAACCATCTTTATATATATATATATATATATATATATATATATATATATATATAAATTTAACGTTATAAACAATGAGATTAATATGTGACTACACTATATTTTAGATTACATGAATTACGTAATCAATATGGAGAAAAATATGTATTGAAATAATAAAATAAGGTTATTTTTTATAATGAACCTTTGAAATGGTGGCCATTAAAACCTTTCACGCTAAACGGGGGCAACTTCTATTCTACCCTCAATGTGCTACATCAACATCTAACCATACCCTCTATTTTTTTTAAAAAAAAATCAACTTCTATTATACCCTCTTTAATATGTAATGACTAAAATACCCTATTTTATTTAT